CTTTGGCATTGTCCTTCTTTGGGATTAGAATGAAAACTGACCTTTTGCAGTCCTGTTGCCGCTACTGAGTTTTCCATATTTGCTGAGTGCAGCACTTTGACAGCATCGTCTTTAGGATTTTAAATGGCTCAGCTGGAATGCTGTCACCTCCACTAGCGCTTTGTTCATAGCAATGCTTTCTAAGGCCCACTTGACTTCATACTCCAGGATGTTTGCCGTTAGGTGAGTTACCACTCCACCATGGTTATCCAGTTCATTAAAACCTTTTTTTGTATAGTTTTGTCCATTCTTCCCACCTCTTCTTAATCTCTTCTTCTGTTAGGTCCTTCTCATTTCTGTCCTTTATCATGCTTGTCCTTGCATGAAATATTCCCTTGATATCTCAAATTTTCTTGGAGAGATCTCTAGTCTTTCCCATTCTATTGTTTTCCTTTATTTCTTTGCATTGTTAATTTAGAAAGGCCTTCTTACTTCTCCTTGCCCCACTCTCACTCGCTGAAATCTGCCCCTGGGGTATTTATTTTTCATTAGATGACTGGTGAAAGCAATTTTAAATGTATGTAGTGAAAGTCACTCAGTCGTGTCCAATTCTTTATGACCCCATGGACTGTATGGTCCATGGAATTCTCCAGGCCAGAATACTGGAGTGGGTAGCCTTTCCCTTCTCCAGGGGATCTTCCCAACCCAGGGATCAAACCCAGGTCTCCAGCATTGCAGGCGGATTCTTTACCAGCTGAGCCACCCCTAGGGAATAGGGAAACCCTATTCAGCCAATGCTACTACTATATTTACTTACTTAATAAACTTTAAGTTCCACTCTTCTAGACTGTTGCTAGCATTCTCAAAGACTTTTCTCAAAATTTTGCGTTTTTGGTTTTCACTTTTTGGAAAATATAAGGATGAATTCCACTGCTCTGAACATCTACTAGGGTTCTAGATAGGAGATGGGTGTATGTAAATTTCTACCAAATAGAGATTTTTTTTTCTCCTCCCACAGTCTCCTAAGGAGATAATTCATCGCAACAAATTATCACTTTTAATTGTCCTCACTTCTGGGTTGTTTAATACTCTACTGCCAATTACTGTTTGCCTTTCCTCAAATAGACTAACCTGCATTTTAAATTCAGGTCCCCCCTCAACTCCCCTCAAAAAAAAAATAAAGGTAGCAAAGTAACTGACAAAAAGCAGGAAGAAAGCACTTAAGGATTCATGAGACTCTTACACCTTCTGAACAGGGACTGCTGCCTGAACCTGAGGTGGGCCACTCTCCTGCCCGCCCCCCCCCCACCCCAGACATGTCTGCGCTGAAGGGCTGGGTCTAAACTTAGATTACTGCTCCCTTCTTAGCAAGGCGTAGCGACTCTGTAGGCTTGTTTCTTTGCCTGGTGAGCACTGAGCTGTCCTACTCCATCAGCGTCACTCAACAAGAGAGGGTCTGCTCTCCAAACAACACAATCAGGGACCAGCTCGGAATGAGACAGCGTTTCCACCTGAGAGACTGGGGAAGCCTGCAGAAGTTGGGGATTGGAGGAGACCCTGGGGTTTGGAAGCCTGGGTACATCGTCTTTGTCATCAGGACTAAGTCTAAGGTTTTGCTTTGTTAGAATCGGGTCAGAGCACACTTAACTGATCCTTTAGGGTTCTTGCTGACGCCAGGATGTTAGAGAGAAAAACGACTCCCTTTCCAGATCCGGCTTCTAATAGCTGTCCTCTCTTCCAGCAGAGTCTCTCTAAGATGGACATAGAAGACTGCAATGGCCGCTCCTATATGTCTGGTATGTCCTCTTGCGCTTTCTGTTTGTCAGGGGCTGGGAGCACGCTCTCCTGTGGAGCAGAGTGGAGCGCCTTCAGCTTAGCGCGTGGCCTCCCAGCGCACCGCAGTCTTGGAACTGTCACTTTTGGTAGTGCTAGATAGAGTGCGTTTATTTTGGTAATTTTACATTCCCTAAAAAGTGATTCTCTCCCCAGACTTCTTGGAGGACAGGAGCAGGGGAAGGAAATAAGAGGGGTACTGTGAGTGGAGACTACTAGAGAGAAGAGATTTGAAACAAAGCAGTGGAAGCAAGATCTGGTTCCTTCTCCTGTGCCGAGGTCACTAACCGAACATGACACCCAGGGTTTCGAAGGCCTGCAGGGGCCAGGTAGGATGTAACAGAGTGACTGGGCTCAGATAATGAGCAGAAGAGAGTGAGGGGGACAGTCATGGACTGGAGAGCACATGTCCTTCCTCAAGGAGCAGCGGCTCTGCAGGGTCCACCGGAATGTGTGTCCAGTGTGGCCAAAGCCGCCAGTTTTTCAAAAGAAATCAGAAATCAGGATTTTATATGAAATGTCTCCTTTTAAAAATAATAACTTTGTATTTTAAGAAATGTTCCATGGGGCAAGCCAAACTTGTCTACAGTCTGAATTCAGCCAGTGGGCCAAGAGCTTACACATTTGAAGCAGAGAGAGAGGAAGACCAATTCTCCCCCTATCTTTTCCATGACCATAAAGCTTTTTATACCTGCCACATATTCTTATGAGGCAGAAGAGATCCCGGCCTGTAGTATGGATGGCTTTTAGGAATGTGAAAGTAATCGTGATCCTCTTAGTTTCACAAGATGAAAAGCAATGAGGAACCTCATTTGGCTCTCTCTCCGAGGGTGTAGAAAATGGCCTAAGACAGAATTTGTCTCTGGGATGGGAAGGAACCATTTTTTGGACCATTAGAATTTTAGGGCACGAAATGATTGTAAGAAATAACAGAAGCCAGAATTGGGTTTTGACATAACACGTATCCCCATCAGTAACCCAAGCACCATTGTAGTAATGACCTATAGTTTATTTTTTACCTTAAAGTGGGACCAATGGAGGAATTATGGGCATGCACTAAGGGAGATAGCAAGATGGGCCAGACACACATATGAGAGTTACTGGCAGCACCCACATAACGTGAAGGTAAGAAGTCGACTCTGACCCCCTTTCTCGTTTAAGGAGGGAAGGAGTTGGAATTGGTACGGGCATTTGATACCTGCTACGTGCTGGACAGAGTAACAGGGATCAAGTGGACTGATTCAGTTGAAAGAAACTTTATTGGGACTAAAATCATGTCTCTTCTGAGGAGCCGACCAGTCCTCCTGCCTCCTGCTCAGTTGGGCCTATTCAGAAAACCACGATTGAGCAACACCTGTTCTCAGGACCCTGCCTTGGAGCTGAGGACTCTCAGAGAAAAACTAGTCCCTCCCCTAAGGCAGGCAAGTGAGAAACTGGGAAGCTGGCTGAGGAAATAGCCCATGGAGCACTTTTCAGCCTACCTCTGGAGAACGTTGGATATTAGAGGAAAACTGAATGTATTGGCATCACTGTGCTATGAAACGAAGCTTTCCTGGCTTTCAGCAGGTTGGCACTTTCTAGATGAGAAGAGTCCTCAGCAAAGGATTGTTTTTGAATGAAAGTGGAGGCCAGAAACCACTCACCTGTGTTTTGAGAATTCTAGATGTCAGCAGCTACCATAGAGAGAGACGGGGACTGGGGGAGAGGGGCCAGGAGTCAAGGAAGGGCTAACGTGAGCTATGAAAAGCAGCCCCTGCAGGACCAGACATGGCTGAGACGGTCCATGTGAGGGTTTCCTGAGAGCTGCCCCCGCACCCCTTCCCCGCGCTGAGCCATCTCTCCTGGATTGATGGGGAAGCAGAGGGCAAGGTGGCAGTGTGCACCCCTCCTAAAGCACCACCCCTCCACCTCCACACCTGGGGACTTTCCCTTGCCTGGCCAACTGATGACGGGGGAATCTCTCCTGTTCTTCAAAGAGGTTCCCCCTACCCCCACCCCCACCCCCGCACAGATCCCATTACAGAAAGTCCACCTCTTCCTTTGGAAAGATCATTGCCTGGGGTGGGGCGGCGGTGGGGGGGGGAGAGAGGGAAGAAAGGAGGGGTTCATTCCTTTACCACACAGATGCTCTCCCCTCCCCCACTCCCTGTCTTTCTAGGGAAACTGAGTTGCTCAAACCCAGCTCATGCAATTAATTGACTGAGCAGTGCTTGTTCGAAGTTTTCTGGGACTGTGAAATGTTTAAGGGAACCTTGGCAGAAAGGGGTCCAGAGATAGGCAGCCCAAAGTTTCCCAGCCCCTCCCACCCCCTAATTCTTGGAATCAGAAAATCTAGTCTTCCAAAGTAGGTCAGCACGGCCGTGAGCAGCTCCTCTGGAAGGGAAGGGAGCGGAGGCCTTGTCTTGATGGAGGGCGGATTCATCCAGGGCTGTTGGCGGCGGCTGGGGCCCCAGGGGCACAGGAGGGGAGGGGAGGTGGGGTGACCGGACCAGCACTTTGCCTGGGATCCGAAAGGGCTCCGGGCCACAGAGCAACACTAGCCCCGAGATCAGACTTTGCAGGGCCCTCTGGCTGCTGGGAAGGGGGAGGCTGTCAGTCCCGCCCCCCCCCCCGCCCCCCAATCTGGAGAGCGACCTCCCTCCTGGAGGAGGAAGAAAAGGAGGGAAGACTAGGGCTCGAGTTCGGTGGGGGAGGGGCTTTCTGCCGATCTGGAGCCTGGAAGCTGCCCCTTGTCCTGGGCCCCATGACCTCTGAGGCACACACACACACACACACACACACACACACACACACACCCTGGGCTGAGTTCTTCTCGCTGGCTGCAGCCGTGGGCCTCTGCTCACCGAGCCGCTGCCGCTGCCTGCGAAATGACGGCGGTTCCCCTCACTTCCAGGAATCCACGCTTCCTGGAAGGTGAGTGGCTGGGCTCACCCCTGCCTGCCACCGAGACGCAGACATGCACACACCACCCGCACTCGCTCGCCGTTTCCAAGGCGGCGGCCGCGCTCGCACCCCGGGGTCTCACCGGCAAGGGAAGGATAATGTAAGTTCAGGCAGAAGGCGGCTAGTGGAGGGGGGCGGGGAGGGGGGGCTGCTGCTGGGGCTGAGGAGCCAATTCAGTAACAACTCCCCGAGCCTGAGGAGCGGGAGCGGACTGGGGGCTGTGCGTGGAGCGGGGGAGGGGGCGTTCCTCCTCACACTTGCGGAGGATGGGGAAGGGTGTTTAGTGTTGCTAAGCAAAGGCTGCGACTTGGTCATTGCGAGCTCGTGGTGACATCTTGATTAGGCCTTGGGGACAGATGTAGAGCTGCCTGAGGTGAAATGCCGAGACAGGCTGGGGTGGGAATGGGTCATAAAAGAACCTAGGTAAAGAGGGGTCCCCCGGCAGCAGATGCCTCCGCCTGGAACTGAGATGCAAGGGGCCTCAGCCTCCTCCCCACAATAGAGCTGGGGATGGGCGTCTTTCTCTGTTCCTGTCCCCACTCTTCCCTGCCAGCAGGCTAGCATCCCGCCCCCTGGAGCCCGTGGTCACGAAGGCAAAGCAGTTAGGACGAGGTCCCTTCAGAGAAGCCTGGAGGCTCTGGGACCCCACAGCTGGCTCTTCCCTCGAGGGGGCCACTGTTTGGAGGGATGGAGAAAGGGCAGGAGGAACCGAGGGCTGGGCCCCCTCCACTGGGAAACACATCTAGCTGGTGGGACCCTGCTCCAGCTCCTTCCTCGCCTTCCTGCTTTTATGCCCTTTACCGGCCTCCTGGTTCCTCTGATGTGAACCTCATGATTTGGCTTTGCCCTCCGGGGGGTTTGGATTCAGCCAACGTAGGATGACTCGGACCAAGAAAATTTCTCTGAGACCTAAGGGCAACCCTATTTCTTGGCTTTGATAGTCTGGGATTTCTCGGGAGTCCCAGGCGTTTGAAATTCCCTCACTGGGTTTTCTGGGGCAGAGAGAGGAACTGCTGAACTTCCTAAATCAGACTCTTGTTCTCTTCACCATCCAGCTGAAACTCAAAATCCCTGGAGCCCCCGAAGACTTTCTAACCCCTGAAATGGATTTATTTTAGGTATTAGTCCCCTAAAAGTCAACCTGAGCCTGTTTTGCCTCTTACCTTTATCCTAGGGAGGGCAGTGGCATCAAAGAGCCTCTTGAACTACAGGTGTGACCCTGAAAGTACCTGCTCCTCCTGTACCCAGGCCTTAAGAGGGAGAATCAAAGAGAATGTTGTCCCCTTACTGTCCCTAAATATCCCTGTAAGGATGTTTTCCCCATATATCAAGCCCCAGGCCCCAAGAGGCAGCCTCAGCCCAGTAGGCTGGGACCAGAGATGGCTTTCCAGCCACCTCACTCATCCTTTTAGGGTCAAGGACTTAGCGCCAGGCCCCGGAGCCCTGTTCTTCCCCCATTACTAACATCCAGTGATTTAGGACAAGTCAGCCCTTTTACCCCTTGCAACCTTAGCAAACCCTACTCAGTTAAGAGGACATATTTTAAAACTGGGTCTGAGTCTACAGGTCTCAACTCACAGCTCTGAGATGCTCACTTGGTGATATGTGTGTGGTATTGATAGGGGGCAACATTTTTTTTTTTTTAGATAACCACGGCTCACCTAAAGAGCCACAGCCGGGGAACCTCGGTTTCAAGCCGTAAGGCTTCTTCAATAGGTAGTGAATAGATGTCCTCAGGCTTTGATGGGCTAGAGTGGGGGAAATGGGGCTTTTAGTAGAGGCGGCGAATGGGAAGCGGCCCCATCCTGAGCGGTTGTTTTCTTCCCGCTGACCGAAGCTGGAGAGGGATCCCTCAGGAGGGTGTGCTCCGGATCTCTTGCCTCAGGCCCAGGACTCCAACCATTTTATAATGGAACCTTTATTTTGTGAAAGTAAGTATGCGCATAGCTGGGAAACTGGGTAAAGTGCTAACAGGTGGACTTTAGGGGTGAATTTTAGGCTCGCTCTCTCTCTCTCTCTGTCTTCCATATTTAGACCTGTGTGCACACATCTATGCATGTTCATGTTAGCAGATAATGTAGACGGCTAGCCCAGTGTGTATCCCCGTAGCTATGTTCTCTTTATGTGTATCTACCTATGTGATATATGTCCGTGTCTGTGTTTATCTACATGTGTTTTATTTCACATGTATATTTGTGCAGAAGATTGTGGGAGGAGGGTTTTTTTTAAAGACTTGATTTGTGTGTTCAGGTATGTTATCTGATTTTTAAAAACATACGTGACACTCTTAGAAAGCATTTTTACAAAAGCTGTTTGTCAACAAGTTAAAATGCATATATATTGAGAATACACTGATTATTTCACTGTCAAGGGAATGTCAAGTAGTAACTATGTGATTGGAATACTATCAGATGGAGGGTTTCTGGAATAGCTACATGCTTGCTGATTTTAGAGTGAGATGGACCCAACTCTCCGCTTCTGAAACAGTGACTCCAGTTAGCTCCACACAGGTGAGGGTTAAGGACACCCGTAATTCCTACTTATGATCTGACCCAGGTCCCATCGCTGCCAGCTCTGTGACCTTGGGCAAGTAACAGAGCTGTTTCTGTGCCTCAGTTTCCTCATAAGTACGATTAAGATCATACTGGCCCTTCCTTCGCAGGGTTGTTAAGATTCAATGAGATAATTCTTTTAAAGTGCATAGAATGATGCCTGGCATGTAGTAAGCACTCAATTAATGTTAGCTGCTATCATTGTGATTACTATTATTATCATTAGATTCAGGGGCAATTCCAGCCACCCTTCCTGCAGATCCCGAATCCGGTGTTGGGGGCTCCGGAGAGTAACAGTAGGGAAGAACGTCTGTCCTGAACCGCCTCCCTCGCAAGGCCCCCATTTTCCTCTCCACCCCGGCCCGCCCAGCCCCAGCCCTGCTTCCTGTGGACGTCAGGCAGTGAAGCTCTTCCCCTCAGGCCTAGATGAAGGTAGGGTGGGCAGGCAGCAGCCACTGAGCCCGCGGAAGTCGGCGCCGGGCACCCAGGCTGGCGAGGGCACGAGGTATGGTGCCCCACACACAGTGGGGCCTCGCATGTGGCTGCAAGATAAATGTTTGTGAAATGTCACTGAACTTTGAAGAGATCGGGCGTAGACGGAAGATGGCTCGAGCTGTAGCTTCACCTTCCTTCTTGTTGTCTCCTCCAAGGTAGCGGGGACTCGTCTCTGGAGAAGGAATTCCTTGGGGCCCCAGTGGGGCCCGCAGTGAGCACCCCCAACAGCCAGCACTCGTCTCCCAGCCGCTCACTCAGTGGTAAGTGCGGCCCCGGGCACCCAGGCCCCGGGCACCCAGGCCCCGGGCACCCAGCGCGGCTGGCCCTCAGTTCACCTTCCATGGCAGCCATTTCCCGCTCGCTGCCTCCCTCTGATTTCCGCCCAGAGGACCGAGCAGCACTCAGGAGCTCCCTGCCTCGGGCTTCCGTGACTTCTGAGAGGAGGGTGAACCATCACTGCCTAGTGACTAGGGTGGAACTGAAAGAGGCATGGGTGGGATTAAGGTGAGGGCTCCAAAGAGAAACTCTGGAACTGAGCAGATGGAAGTGGCCATGGGCTGGAGTTAGATAGGAAATAGAGATGAGAAGGATCCCCTCCTCACCCCCGCCGGTCTCCTGCCAGACAGGGTCCCCTTGACTGCCCCTCCTCACTGGCCCTGGATCTGTCACATTCTCTAAATGGTTGGAATAGCCAGGAATGTAGGTCACAGCCAGAGCCAAAGCTCTCTCCGCAATGGCTCCTCCCTCCTGCAGTCCCCTCTCCAGGTTTTCACCAAGGGGAGTAGAGGTGTCCGGCCCTGTGGGCTGGGGGGATAACGTGAGCTGTGTCTGTCTTCCAGTTTTGCTCTTTTCAGCCCGCCGTCTCCGTCTTCCTAGGACCATTTTACCACCACTGTGACTCCCTGGCTTCCTGCCCGGGGCCAAGCCAGACATCTTCCTTAATGACAAGAGAGGGGAGGAAAAGGCTCCCCTTAGTCCCCCACTCTCCCCAGTAACTGAAGACACCCCATGTACCCCAACTTTTTTCCTCTGGAAACCTGTGTGCTTCGTGGGTGGGAGAGGAGGACAAAGGTGTCTCAGGTCCCAGCAGGACCCCATAGCACCACCCAGGATACTTAGGAGATTGGCTTCTCTTAAAGCCTGAATGTCTCAGGGCTTGGAGACAGCCTTTGGGACTTAAGGAGGGCATCTCTGGCCCACGGGCAAGCTCCCTCCTTGGTCTGTCTCTATCCTAAACACGCTCCCACCCTCCAGCCAACTCCATCAAGGTGGAGATGTACAGCGATGAGGAGTCGAGCAGACTGCTGGGGCCAGACGAGCGTCTCCTGGAGAAGGATGACAGTGTGATCGTGGAGGACTCCTTGTCGGAGCCGCTGGGCTACTGCGATGGAAGCGGGCCGGAGCCCCACTCCCCCGGTGGCATCCGCCTGCCCAATGGCAAGCTCAAGTGTGACGTCTGCGGCATGGTCTGCATTGGGCCCAACGTGCTCATGGTGCACAAGCGCAGCCACACGGGTGAGTCCGGCGGGCAGCTGGGCCCAGGCCACGCGGAGTCATCTCAGGAAGGGGAGGTCTCTCCCAGCACTGCTTCTAGCTGCTAAAAAAAGGTGGGGGATGAAATCTGGACTCCATCAACACCTGTACTTCATGGCACTTTCCTCAACTGTAGTTATAAGGCAAGCTGGTATTTGTCTCAGGAGATGATGGAGGAGAAGACGTGTTGCCTCAAGAAGTGTCCGATAGGGGACTTCTGTGCTAGGGAGTCTATCAGTTAAGTCTCCAAACTTCCACTTCAGGGGGCACAGGTTCGATCCCTAATCAGGGAACTAGATCCCACATGCCACAACTCAGAGATGCCACAACTCAAGCTCCTACATGTTACAACGAAGAGCAAAAATCCGAGTGCTGAAAGTAAGACGGGGTACAGCCAGATAAATACGTTTTTTTTTTTACAGAAAGAAGAAGGATGCTATAGTCCAACAGGGTATTGTTTGGGCTCTTGTGTCTTACGGGGTTTTTTTGACTGTGCCAGTTGGCATGTGGGGACTTCGCGCCCCACCAGGGATCAAGCCTGTGCCCCCTACTGTGGAGGCGCTGAGCCTTAACCACCGGGCCGCCAGGGGAAGTCCCTGTCTCATGAGTCTTTAAATAAAGGAAAACAGAAGCCTCTTTACAGCTATCTTTGGCTCCAGGCTCCTGGGGCAGAGCAGGCCCTGCGGCGCTCAGTTCTTGCTAACAGTCTTGGGCCCGGCATTCCAGGCCCGGGACCCTTGGCCCTGCCACACACCTCTAGTCCCGGCCTCCCGATGAGCCCGTACCCGAGGGGCCCTTTGCAAGCAGCATTTGCGTGTGTGCCACGGCCCTGCCTCGCACATGTGTTCTGGGCACTTTCCTTCCCCAGGCGGGGTAGAGTGGAGCGCAGGGTGCGGGGCTCAGCCTTCACAGCTCCTCACCCATGCTCGGCTGTGGCCTCTTCTTCCCCCAGGGGAGAGGCCCTTCCACTGCAACCAGTGCGGCGCCTCCTTCACCCAGAAGGGCAACCTGCTGCGCCACATCAAGCTGCACTCCGGGGAGAAGCCCTTCAAGTGCCCCTTCTGCAACTACGCCTGCCGCCGGCGTGACGCGCTCACCGGCCACCTCCGCACACACTCGGGTAGGGCATGTCCGGAACACCCAGTAAATGAGCTCAGCCTCTTCTCTAGTCTTGGAGGGTTACAGTGTCTGCCACTGAGGGGGGCAGAGCACTCCCAGAGCAGAGCCGCAGGCCCCAGGGCACGTGGGGCTCTTTGATGGGATATTTTGCATCTGCCATGCTCTGCGACCTGGAACAAGAGGAGCAGGGGTGGTGTTCCTGGCTGTCAATAGTCACCCTCCCTAACTTGGCTTTTACATGCATGCTGATGCCAGGACCATCCGGGGCCCGTCACTCTCCCTTCTGAGCACCAGGGACACCCCTCCTTCCACTCTCATGCGCTCCAGCCCCACACCTGTCCCCGTCTTTACTAGCCCGCACAAACACCAGAGGTCTCTGGCAACCTCTGTCTGTCCTCCCCTGGACTTCCGGCTGGTTCCTGTAAATTTCCACAGGCCTCTCAAACTGGAAGAAAGGAAGCCTAGGAAAAGAGTATCCCATTTCTGTTTCCCATCTCACAAGGTCATCACCTTCCTAGAGGCAAGAGCAAATCCAGAGGGTGCCTGGAGGTCAGTGTTGGGAACACTGCCAGGGACCCGGACTAACCAGGTTTCCTAGCCCCAGCCAAGACAGGTTGAGTCGACACCTTTCTGGATCAGCTGGGCAGGCGGCACTGTTGCAGCCTCTCACTGAGTCTTGAGCGTTCGCCTTGGACTTGGGAAAGGCCAGGAGCGGAGCTGGCAGGGGGGAGGGAGCTCAAGGTTGGGGAAGGAAAGGAAAAAGGGCAGAGGGGAGACAGTAGGGTCTGTCCTTGGAGACTTTTCCTTGTTTCTCGTTTCTTGAACTCTCCTGGGCCAGGATTTAAAGGGCCAGAGCAGTCACCTCACCACCCTCTTGTTCCACATTTCCCCAGCCACCTACCTTGTTCTAGATTCTCTCACTTTGGAACTGGGACCTCTTTCTCTCTATGTATGTGGAGAACCAGGGAGAAAGATCATTACTGCTGATTCAGGCATTATAATCTAAAAATATTTTACATGTGTCTCCTCCCTCATGTGATCCTCATAACAATTCCAAGGTAGATATTTTCACAGAGCTATTCTACAGCCTCGTTGGAATCCAATTAATGGCAGGTGTGAGTGGCAGGTGCGAGCAAGTCCGACTCCTTTTCTGAGGAAAAGGGTGGCTCCCCCTGCTGGTTTGGAACAAGGATGGCTTGGCCCCTAGAATTCTTACCAACCACAGCGAGGCCTGCTGGGAGGACACTGGATGTTGTTGTGTAGGACGTTTTAGGGACACAGGTGGACACAGATACACTGTTGGGTCTCATCTCTGTGAGATGTTTTCTATCACAGCCCACACTCTAGGAGAGAAAAGGGAGTTCCCCTCCCAGAGGTTAGACCATCTCCCCAAGAGTCCTGGGTGGACGAGGACCACGGCATTCATCTTACCCCCCAACCGCTCGGGTTTACAGAGCAAGAGCAGAAAGGCAGTAGGTGACTTAGTCCAGGCCCAAGTTAGGCGTGTGTGAGTAGGGGCAGGGGCCGGTGGTGATTACCAGCCTCCTGAAGCTGCCTTCTCCCATCTCCCTGCTCAGTACTGGCCACATACTTTCACAAATGTCCTCTCTCAAGTTGTTTTCAGAAGAAGTGTTGATCTCAGTTTTCCTAACCTTTTTTTCATCTCTGGAAACAAAATCTTTATAACCTCTTCTTTGTTTTTAAAAAAAAAAAAAAAACAACGAAGACCCCCAGAATTGGTGTTCGCTCCCTTTGCCTTCCTCTGGTTATTTATTTTTCTCTTCTCAGAATTTCTCTATCAGTGATGGTTTTTCTGGGGCTCTCTTGGTATATCTCAGTGTAGCGAAAAAGAAAACTGAGCAGTTAAAACCAGGCCGGGGATGGAGGTAAAAGTACAAGTAAAGGTCAGTGAACGTGCCCCTCCCCACCCTGGCAGAGCTGAGGGCTCTCATTTCTGCCACCTCAGCCCACCAGTTTCCCCCAAACTGAAGCAGATAGTTCGTAAGCAAAAAAATCCCCTTGTCTGATAAACAGCCCTTACACCCGCCTGCCACATGGAAAGGTTAAACCACAGTCTGGGCCCCAGACTCTGAGATCCTGGGGTGGGGCCAGCCTGCCTGCCAGGGATGATCCCCTGCGAAGTCCCCGGGTCCTTCCTTCCTTTGAACAGCAACGTGGCCATCTTGAGGCCCACCAACAGTCGAAGCCACGTGCCCTGTCTCCTCCCATCCCGGTGCGTCGTCTCCCTTCTTCAGGGTTCCACCGTGTGTCCTCGCTGGCCACTGACGCCGGGGAAAGAAAGATGAGCCAGAGAGCTCTGCCGAGCCACGTCCCTTGCCCCTCCCGCCCGGGCGTGCCTGCTCCCCGCGCGGCCCTCTGACGCCCTCCCCTCTCCTCTGCAGTCTCCTCCCCCACGGTGGGCAAGCCCTACAAGTGCAACTACTGCGGCCGGAGCTACAAACAGCAGAGCACCCTGGAGGAGCACAAGGAGCGCTGCCACAACTACCTGCAGAGTCTCAGCACTGAAGCCCAAGCTCTGGCTGGCCAGGCAGGTGAGGCCGCAGGCGGGGCCGTCGGGGGCAGGGCGGGGCCACGCCAGCCCCTGCCAGTCAGGTGAGGCCGCAGGCGGGGCCGACAGGTGGGGCCGCAGGCGGGGCCGTCAGGGGGCAGGGCGGGGCCACGCCAGCCCCTGCCAGGCAGGTGAGGCCGCAGGCGGGGCCATCAGGAGCAGGACGGGGCCACGCCAGCCTCTGCCAGTCAGGTGAGGCCGCAGGCGGGGCCATCAGGAGCAGGACGGGGCCGCCCCAGCGCCTCCCTCACAAAGGGGTGGACCTCTGGAACAGATGAATGTGCCGGGCCCGTGGTGGGTGCTGCAGGCAGATCCAGAGGTAGGGAGGACTTCATCTGTGTTGTCAGAGAGAGAGAGGGCACACAAGGAGATATGCAGTCAAGGGTCAGAAGCATGTCACTGTTCGCACATCACCGGAAATGTGCCGTAGTGAGCTCTAGATGGGGTGCAGTAAGCAGAGTGCCATTTCCCAGGCATCCGCTCTGACCTTCCTCAGCTACCGACCTTCCTCGGCTACCGACCTGCTGCTTTTCTCCAGGCAAAGGCAGCTGGGCCGCTGCTTCCCCCGCTCAGCTGCTCCTGCCTGTCGCGCCCACCCCACCCCAACCCTGCCCCCTCCCACCAGGCGACGAGATACGGGACCTGGAGATGGTGCCAGACTCCATGCTGCACTCATCCTCTGAGAGGCCAACTTTCATTGACCGTTTGGCCAACAGCCTCACCAAACGCAAGCGTTCCACCCCCCAGAAGTTTGTAGGTAAGAGTCCAGTTGGAGAGGAGACATCAGCTGGAAGCCCCCACTTGTCTAAATCTGAGCGCTTGTGGCTGTCGGACCAGCTGGGCCTGGAGGTTTGCTTGGGGTGGGAGAGAGCAGCCTGGTCGTCTCCTAGTGTTCAGAATGTATCCCCAGAGTGGGCGGGCAGTGAAGAGGAAGAACATCCCTCACCAGGCGGAAGAGGAGCCAGAGTTGAGGGCTCTCAGGATGCTTGTAAGAGGAGAGGGTTGGGTGTCAGGCTTTTCCAGTTTCTGAAAATAGTAAGGACTTCTGTTTACGGGGGCTGAGAGAAGGGCCCTTGGAGTCTGATTATGGGGACTGAGAGAAGGGCCCTTTGAGTCAGAGAGAAAAGGTGTGTATGGAGGTCCCTGGCCATTAGCTCTCTTTATGGAGAGCAATGAAGGAAGTAAGTTTTCAAGACCAGTGGGCTGGGACCAAGTCCTTCTCTAAGATTATAGCCCAGGGCTGGGGAGCAGCCCCACAGAGGACCTGACCTTGTGGGAGGTGAATGAGGGGTGGTGGGTGATGTTACACCCATCCCCAGGGAAAGAAAACAAAGGAGGAGTCCTCGGGGAGCTGGGACTTATCCCAGGTCAGCCCTCCTGAGACCCTTCTCTCCACAGGTGAGAAGCAGATGCGCTTCAGCCTCTCGGACCTGCCCTACGATGTGAACGCGGGCGGCTATGAGAAGGACGTGGAGCTGGCGGCGCACCACGGCCTGGAGCCTGGCTTCGGGGGGCCTCTGGCCTTCGTGGGGGCCGAACATCTGCGTCCCCTCCGCCTGCCACCCACCAATTGCATCTCAGAACTCACGCCTGTCATCAGCTCTGTCTACACTCAGATGCAGCCCCTCCCTGGGCGACTGGAGCTTCCGGGGTCCCGGGAGGCAGGTGAGGGGCCCGAGGATCTAGCTGACGGAGGTCCCCTCCTCTACCGGGCTCGAGGCCCCCTGACTGACCCCGGGGCCTCCCCCAGCAATGGCTGCCAGGACTCCACAGACACAGAGAGCAACCACGAGGACCGGGTCGGGGGGGTGGTGTCACTGCCTCAGGGCCCCCCACCCCAGCCTCCTCCCACCATGGTGGTGGGCCGGCCCAGCCCTGCCTACGCCAAAGAGGACCCCAAGCCGCAGGAGGGGTTGCTGCGGGGCACCCCAGGCCCCTCCAAGGAAGTGCTCCGGGTGGTGGGCGAGAGCGGCGAGCCAGTGAAGGCCTTCAAGTGCGAGCACTGCCGCATCCTCTTCCTGGACCACGTCATGTTCACGATTCACATGGGCTGCCACGGCTTCCGAGACCCTTTCGAGTGCAACATCTGTGGCCACCACAGCCAGGACCGGTACGAGTTCTCTTCCCACATTGTCCGGGGGGAGCACAAAGTGGGCTAGCGGCCTCCTCCCCCGCCGCAGTGCACCCCCCACGCCCTGCCTGCAGGAGGCTGGCCTGTCCCCACCGCGGCCCTAGGAGCTGGGCTGTGTAGCCCCCACCACCGGCTCCCTGGCTTCACCCCTGACCCTGACCCGTCCTCACCTGTGCTCCTCCGCCCCCCGACTGATCTAAGCGTTGTGATGAAACAGGTCTTTTGCTTATCTTTCTCCTTTTTCTCTTCTCCTTTCATCCCATCATACTCACTGAGTTATTTATTAATATAATTTGTTGAGTTTTCTTTTGCTTCTTTTTTTTTAACTTCTATCACTCGCCACACCGCCACCCTCCTCCCCACAGCCCCCTCCACGTCAGGCCTGATTTTTCTCTTTGCGCTTTCTCCAGCAGCCCCAGGAGTGGGAAGCTCCCCTTAGTGCTGAGAGGCCTCGGGCTTCCTGATTTAGGTCCTCACCTTTGACCATACCCGATGCTTCCGTTTCGATGCCAACCGCGCTCTATACCCACCTTAGCTCTGTGGCATTACCTCTGCCCTCCGGGACCCTGCAGCCTGGTACTCGTGGCCTCTGACCTTAGGCAGCTTGCACAGCTCCTGATCAAATGAAGAAACCCCTCCTTGGGAAGTAGGAGAGGCTGAAGGAATCCTCCCCAGGCACCCTGGGACTGAGGGTCCTCTTGACATCCCACTAGGAATTGGAGTTCCCCAAAGCCCACATCCGGGATCTGCCTCTCCAGTGTGATCTCCCCCTCTCCTCGAACAGCCCCCAGCACTGCTCTACTCTCTTCACACTGCCTGTCCACTCAGTGGTGGTTTTTCTCTCCTTGGAATGCCCCAGCTTTATACTCTCAGGGGCCAAGGCTAGGTCAGCAATCCTCTGTCTCTGACACGTGTGGAGCCACAGGTGCCTAACTGGGAACCAGGGAAGGGAATGGGTCAAAATTCCTCTCTTTCTCTCCCACCTCTCAAACTTCCTCACTCTAGCGACCTACTTGGGCTCTCAGGGGCACCTCTGGTCCCTGTCCTATGAGAAACTGGTGGGTTGCTGCCTGATAACAAGGGGGCATCCTCAGCCCCCCAGTCATGCTGCCTTCTCTCCCCTAGCAGGATTCACCCTCTCATCCCCAGACTCCTGGGCCCTGTTCTTAGGATCAGTGGCAGGGGGAAAAGGATGTCTCTTTTCTCTCTCTTAACTCTCAGTATAACCAAAAATTCTCCCCAGGATGAGCAAGGGCAGACGCCCCTCTCCCCATCCCAGTCTTGGGCCAGCGAGAATGGGATGGACACAGCTGAATGGGAGAGCCATCCTTTACTACCCCTCCTACACTCAGCTCCCGGATGTAGGGCAGGAGGGGGCACGCTCCTGGCTGCTGCAGAGACTCCTGGCTGTTTGGGTGACCTAGACAGTGACAGGGGCAGGAGGGGATCGCTCCACCGCCGAGTGGGGGTCTCTTTCCACAAGAGCTCCCTGCCCAAGGCCACAGCCATCCCATTCTCTGCTTCCCTGAGATTCAAACCAAAGCCTGTTTTTCTATATTTAAAAGTTAAAAAGTAAAAACCAAACAGAACACCTCACAAGTTGTAACACTTGGTCCTTCTCTCTCTCTTGCTCCCCCCTCTTTTCTCTTCCTTCCGTTTTTCTTTCCACAAGTCCTCTCCTTATGGGCTCTTTTGCCTCCTGCTTTCTCACTCCCTATCAGGGATAATTCAGGGGGCTGGTAAAGGGTTGGTTAAGGAACAGACCCTGGGATTGGGGCTCGTAAGGGCTCTCAGGATCTCAGGCTCTGCCTTATCCTGTTATGGGAAGGGAGACCCTGAACACCTCCTTCTCCTCTGCTCCCCCAGTCTGTGGTCTCCCCAGGAGAACCAGATTGTCAGGGGGGGACACTGTGGGTTGCCTGTGTCTCCTTGACAATGTAGCAATAAACAGATGCTGCCAGGGGCAGGGGCTCGGGGAGCCGCCTCGGAGGAGCCTGTCTCTGGAGAAGGGGAGAGTCTTCCTGAGAGCACCCCCAGGGAGCTGGCTCCCTCTTTCAGGATGTCAGCAGACCTGAGATTCTTCTCTGGGGTTCCCCTCAGCCCTCCTGCTTATCGAGCCCCTTCCCATGAGCCCTGCCCTCACCGCCTCTTCTGCGTCTGCTGTGTATTTGGTGACACCTCACAAGACTAGTCCCTTCTGGGGTATCGGAGCCTCGGGGTGCCCCGTCCCCTCCCCATCAGTTTTGGCACCTGTAACCTCCTGGAACATGAAGGACTGTGCTCCGAGGCCATGCTCTGAGCCCGTGAGAGCAGAGACTGGAAGGGCGAGCCCAGGTGCTACGGAGGGGAGAGAAGGGCGCTCTGTCTCTCCAGACCATCACTGCACTTTAACCAGGGTCTTAGGTACAAAATCCTGCTTTCCAGAGCCTGCCAGCTCTGGAACCTCAAACATCCTCATGCTCTCTCCTAGCTCCTTTTGCATAAAAAAAGAAAAAAAAAAGTAAGAAAAAGAAAAAACACACATTGAAACCCACATGGAGAAAAGAGGTGTTTTCCTTTTATATTGATATTTAAAATCAACACCACACAAAAAAATTTCTAAATAGACACTTTTCCAGACCTTTGTTTTTTCGTGTCAGTGTCCAAGCTGCGGATGCGATTTTGTAATACTTCTGGCAGCTTCTTTCCTTGTGTACATAATATATATATATAATATATATTTTTGATCAGAAGTTATGAGAACAAAAAGAAAAAATAAAACACAGAAGTAAGTGCAATACCACCTCTCTCCTCCCTCTGCCAGGGTTTCATTTGTAGCCTCTGCTGGGTGTCTCCTTGGATCTTACCCCTTCACCTCCTCCTCTTCCTCTGGGGCCCCCTCCCTCCTTTTTTTTTTTTTTAAAGAGTTTTTCTCCTTTCTCAAGAGGAGTTAAACTAGCTTTTGAGACTTATTGCAAAGCATTTTGTATATGTAATATATTGTAAGTAAATATTTGTGTAACGGAGATATACTACTGTAAGTTTTGTACTGTACTGGCTGAAGGTCTGTTATAAATAAACATGAGTAATTTAACACCCCTGGTTGTTTCTGCAGACTTCCTTTGCCTTACTTTTCTGCTGGGAGGGAGGGAGACGTCCTTGCAGCATATTATACCCACTACTAAATGTTTTGAGGCTCAGAATCTGCCTGCAATGCGGGAGACCTGGGTTGGGAAGATCCCCTGGAGAAGGGAAAGGGTACACACTCCAGTATTCTGGCCTGGAGAATTCCATGGACTGTAGAGTCCATGGGGTCAGAAAGAGTCAGGCACAACTGAGCGTTCACTTTCAAACGTTTTTGAAGATGAACAAGTCTTAAGACTGAGACGAAACGAAACAAGAATGCTCAAGATGTTACTACAGAACAGAAGAATTTTCAAACTAGAATGGGAAGTGGAGATTTTCCCACCAGGAGTGCCTTCAGGATAGGAGAGAAAGCCCAACCTGCCTATGCATACAAAGCAGAGATTCATCAAACATTTGTTGAGTACCTACTACATGTAAGACATACTATATACCAAGGGAGACACAAGACACATAACATGAATAGTTATGTATGATAATGATATGATGATAGTAAGTCTACCAGTTCTTGAGCGTTCCATAAATGCCAAACACTGTGCCAAGTATTCATTTAACTTAGAGAAATGAATAGGTAGAGACAACCTATAAAATCATTACCAGTGAAGAATTAAAAACCAAGAGAGAATAAATAACTTGTCTAAGACTTATCAGTAAGTGACAGAACCCATATTTGAACCCAAGGACATGGTGTCTTATTCCAAAGTCTGTGTTTTTCCCTTAATGCCCAAAAATCCAGCCAGTAAAACTCAGGCTATGAAAATCCAAAGAAAAACCAACATAAGAACATTAACTTTGCTCTTAAGTATTAACTATTTTCTGTCCCCATCACTGAAGGTTTTTTTCAGTCCTATCTACCTCATTACCATTCCATACAATATTGTCTGCTTTCTGTTTTCCATGAGACTATGTTGAAGTGAAAACTGGAGACGCTTCCATCTAGAGTCTATCATTTTCTATATCCCGTTGAAACTAGTAAATTGAAACTAGAAAAAGACCACAAATATATTTGTTTTGAAGCCAAAACAAAAGTTGGGAAATAAATTTTAACTCCAATTACACGGGTTACAGATGAGCAGAAACCACGACGGGCTGCTAGATGGACTCACAAACTCCCGAATGACTCACAAACGAAGGCTCCATCTCCATCTGTACTATCTTGGATCTGAATGCTGGGAGGTCACATTGACATCAACGTTTATCCAATTTTGGAGACAACTGTGTGGTTCTAGAAGGTCTTTTAGGTCTTCAAAGAACTGTTCAACTTCAGCTTCTTCAGCATTACTGGTTGAGGCATAGAATTGGATTACTGTAATATTAAATGCTTTGCTTGGAAATGAACAGAGATAATTCTATCATTTTTGAGACTGCATTCAAGTACTGCATTTTGGACTCCTGTTGACTATGATGGCTACTCCATTTCTTCTAAGGGATTCTTGTCCACACTAGTAGATATAATGGTCATCTGAGTTAAACTCACCCATTCCAGTACATGTTAGTTCGCTGATTCCTAAAATGTTGATGTTCAATCTTGCCATCTCCTGTTTGACCACTTCCAATTTGCCTTGATTCATGGACGTAACATTCCAGGTTCCTATGCAATATTGCTCTTTACAACATCGGACTTTACTTTCATCACCAGTCACATCCACAACCGGTTATTGGTTTTGCTTTGGCTCCATCTCTTCATTCTTTCTGGAGTTATTTCTCCACTGATCTCCAGTAGCATATTGGGCACCTACCAACCTGGGGAGTTCATCTTTCAGTGTCCTATCTTTTTGTCTTTTCATACTGTTCATGGGGTTTTCAAGGCAAGAATACTGAAGTGGTTCGCCATTCCCTTTTCCAGTGGACCACGTTTTGTCCCCATCGTTTAGGGGGCTATATTGAGCCATTACCATTTGTAACTTTATGGATTCAATCCAAGAGGTTATGAACTTGATAATTGCATTGAGAATACAAGAGCCAAATAAGAGCACCACAAGGAACATGAAGAGAGGACCAGTTAAAGGGAGAAGCCACGATGCCCAACTCCAGATATTGTCCTAGTTACCCCAGGAATTTTCTAGTTCCTCTCTCCTTTTTATGATCCATTCCCTGAGCTGTTGGGCCATGTCTCTGACTATTCCTGATTGATTTACATAAAAGCAGCATTCTTCATTTAAGAAGAGGCAGAGTCCTCCCTTTCCAGCTGTCAGTAGGTCTAGCCCTCTCCTATTCTGTAAAATGACCTCAGTCAGGGAGTCTAGTTGGTCCTGTAAGGCCACTAAAGATTTGGCCACTTTNGCTCAAAATTCTCCAAGCCAGGCTTCAACAGTACGTGAGCTGTGAACTTCCAGATGTTCAAGCTGGATTTAGAAAAGGCAGAGGAACCAGAGATCAAATTGCCAACACCTGCTGGATCACTGAAAAAGCAAGAGAGTTTCAGAAAAACATCTACTTCTACTTTGTTGACTATGCCAAAGCCTTTGACTGTGCGGATCACCACATACTGTGGGAAATTTTTAAAGAGAGGAGAATACCAGACCACCTTACCTGCCTCCTGAGAAATCTGTATGCTGGTCAGGAAGCAACAGTTAGAACTGGACATGGAACAGACTGGTTCCAAATTGGGAAAGGAGTGTGTCAAGGCTATATATTGTCACCCTGCTTATTTAACTTATATGCAGAGTACATCATGTGAAATTCTGGGCTGGATAAAGCACAAGCTGGAATCAAGACTGCAGAGAGAAATATCAATAACCTCAGATATGCAGGTGACACCACCCTTATGGCAGAAAGCAAAGAAAAACTAAAGAGCCTCCTGATGAAAGTGAAAGAGGAGAGTGAAAAAGTTGGCTTAAAGCTCAACATTGAGAAAACTAAAATCATGGCGTCTGGTCCCATCACTTCATGGCAAATAGATGGGGAAACAATGGAAACAGTGACAGGCTTTATTTTGGGGGGCTCCAAAATCACTGCAGATGGTGATTGCAGCCATGAAATTAAAAGATGCCTGCCCCTTGGAAGAAGAGCTATGACCTACCTAGACAGCTTATTAAAAAGCAGAGACATTACTTTGCCAACAAAGGTCCGTCTAGTCAAAGCTATGGTTTTTCCAGTAGTCATGTATACATGTGATAGTTGGACTGTAAAGAAAGCTGAGAGCACTGATTAATTGATGCTTTTGAACTGTGGTGTTGGAGAACTCTTGAGAGTCCCTTGGACTGCAAGGAGATCCAACCAGTCCATCCTAAAGGAAATCAGTCCTGAATATTCATTGCAAGGACGGATGGTGAAGCTGAAACTCCAATACTTTGGCCACCTGATGCAAAGAACCAACTCATTGGAAAACACCCTGATGCTGGTTGAGGGCGGGAGGAGAAGGGGACGACAGAGGATGAGATGGTTGGATAGCGTCAACGACTCAATGGACATGAGTTTGAGTAAACTCTGGGAGTCGGTGATGGACAGGGAGGCCTGGCATGCTGCAGTCCATGGGGTCGCAAAGAGTCAGACATGACTGAGCAACTGAACTGAACTGAAATGTGTGGTTGGCTACCCATGTATAGCCACTCTTGCTCAAGAACTTGGAAAAAACAAAGTATTCTCGGTAGGGGGTCAGATTCATCAGAGTGGTTCAATCACCTTGGTGTGGATTGATCAACACTTATTAAAAGAAAATAAAACATAACAGTGCACCGTATGTTGTAAGGGCATGGTTTCATGAAGTTTGTGTTTCACTTTTGTGTGTGTGTGTGTATTTGTATATGTACTGAGTTGGGAAGATCCCCTGGAGAAGGAAACAGCAACCCACTCCAGTACTCTTGCCTAGAAAACTCCATGGATGGAGGAGCCTGGTGGGCTACAGTCCATGGGGTCGCAAAGGCTCGGACACGACTGAGCAACTTCACTTTCACTTTCTTGAGTACTAATGTAAAATGTATTTCTACTATGATTCTGAGTCAAATCGTCTTAAGTCACTAGTCCAGGCTCTTCCCCACCCATTTGTTAGGTAAGAGGCAGCATAGTATAGAGAAGCCAGAACACCTCTTATTAGCACGATGTGACTTTGGCCAACCTCAATTTCAACCTCTCTACACGGTTCTTCAATCTGTAAATTAAGGATAGTAATATAACCTACTTTATAGGTTATAGGCTTGTTGAAGTTTAAATGAGTTAATATTTACATAATGCTTACTACAGCGCCTAGCACTGTGCTAGCAGGATCCAGATGTTTTTCAAAAAAGTGAATGAGAAACAGCCCTAGCACCAACGCACTCGTCCAGGGCTCCTCACTGGGGGATTTTTCTTCCATATTCATTGGAAGGCGGTTGTTCAATAGCTCAGTTGTGTCCGACTTTTTGCGACCCCACGGACTGCACCACGCCAGGCTTCCCTGCCCTTCAGTATCTCCCAGAGTTTGTTCAGACTCACGTCCCTTGAGTGGATGGTGTATTGGAGTGAAGTCGCTCAGTCGCGTCCGACTCTCTTCGACCCCATGGACTGTAGCCTACCACACTCCTCCATCCATGAGATTTTCCAGGCAAGAGTACTGGAGTAGGCTGCCATGAATTAAAATGTTTTATTCCCCTCCCACCACGCCTCGCCTTGGGTTTCTCAATCTTGCACCAAAAGGAATGTCAGAGAAACAGCGTCTCCCAGTGGCGTGGTGCAGACTTCGGTCTAAGTGCCTGGGGCCCTTGGCCTGCCAACCTCACACTACAACTTCCACCATGCATCTCTTCCTCTCCGACCTCTTAATAGGTATTGTAACTTGCGTTCTCCCTGGTGCAACTTCCGCGCCTAGCATCACAAAAACGGATGGTTATAGTGGCCAAAATTACTTCCGGAGCAGGTCGTCGCAAGGGTTGCTGGGAAACATATAACTCTAATTTTCTTCCGCCAGTTGATTAAATAGTCCCATAGTCACCTTGCGCAACGGAAAATAAACTCGAAGAGCACCTTCCTACCACAAA